CACTGTCGTGCAAGTTTGAATATATATATATATATATATATATATATTATATATATATATATATAGATAGATAGATAGATAGATAGATAGATAGATAGATAGATAGATAGATAGATAGATAGATAGATAGATAGATATAGATGGAGAGAGACCGGCATTAATTTCAAAATAGGCTTGATAAAAGAGAAGCGCACAAAGGAAGTCACTTGAGGCAAGAACCACAAATGAAGCGAACCGGAAATAAAAAAGAAGTCAAGGAAATAAAGAACACCTACCTGATCTTTTTGCAGCATATCAACTTTGTGAAGGATTTTCATGGCATATATGTAACCATTGTCTTGCTTTTGAACCAAGCGAACCTGATACGAAATGAAGATAGAAAAACGAAACGATTCGTTGGAGCGTAGAAAGAAATGCAATAGACAAAGTAAGGGTAAACACACTGCGAAATCACTGGAGGCACCTCGGATCACTGAGCAAGTAGAATGAGAGGTGAGGAAGCGTGAGCTCACACATGATGGAAACTCAACGCCGGATGTAAAGATAAATGTCACAGTGTTCTCTGGGGGTCATAATGAGGATAGCCCTACCGAAAGTGGGAAGGATATTGTGGCGAAAACCTGCATAAAATCAGGACAGTGGATTACCGTAGGCAAGTTCAACAGCAAACGATGATTCGATTACGAAGGAGGACCTACCATATTTCACCGAATGATAGAGGCGATTAAGTTAACACACAAAATAGTCATACAATGCAAAACAGATAACAACAAGCGACCACAGTTATTCAACTGGTATACATGCACAGTGCTACTCGAAGGTTAGCACACTGGTATACACATCAACCATCGAGCTCCTCAATGAGACTGGCAAGCAACTAAGACGCTCCGAGTTCGTCTAGTGGATCAAGGAGGAGTAGGTAAAGTATTCAATATTCAGCCAAACTGGAGTGCCTATTCGAGGACGTAATATTCCCATACCTTTCCCTAAATTCCTCATAGAAAGCAACAGATGTTTGTTTCGAACAACTGCATTATGAACCAATGTACATTTTCCATTCGCACCATTGGCATATCTTTGACTCTGCTAGGTCAAATATTTCACCCTTGACAGACTCCGATTAGCGAAGTACTACGCTGTACCGAGTCTTCAAGCTTCAGTTCTTTCTCATTACGATTACAAACTTATTCGTGAGTTGATTACTGTTTTTAATCTGAATTATATAGAACATGATAACACGAATTTACGTTTTCTGTTCTCCACCCAGGCTGTCTGTATAGTATAGGTTCAGTAGCCTATAGTTTTCTTATCCAGTATCGTGCGAATACTAAGTCTAGGCTCCGAACAATCGCTACAGAGGTAGTGCACAAATATGAGAACAAACAGCCTGGGTTAGATGAAGAGCGCAACACTTGTTAAGGCACAATGCGTGGGATGCGTGAAACGATGGAAACAACGCAGCACATTTCACCCTAACAACGACACACTTAAGCAAGGAAATGAATGCAGAATCATCATTCTAGAAGAAGATTTGCGGAGTACAAAGCTCGGTCAGGTCAAGTTCAAGGATTACTCAAAGCGGAAGAGCAAGGGATAGAGAGAAACAAATAGGCTCACATGGTTTCTAGGTACATGATAGTACACGGGTAGTGTCTAAGGTAAGGTGGAACAGCGTCCACCTGGCAGAAAAGGTGGCCAAAGTTCAAACAAATAGGGCACTTAGTAGGAGCAATGCAAATGAGATAACCAATGGGCATAAATGCTGTGCAGAATGCGGCTGCCTACCGCGTAGGGTAGCTCGACCCACTAGCAGACATTAAAATGAAGGAGACCACTAGGAAACACAACGTGCTGTGCGTAGATTTTGTCTTTAGAAGCTTGGCTCGGATGGACAACGTCAGATAGAGAAAGGTACGCCGGGGGACCACAGCTAGGTAGAAAATATGGCACAAGGAAATTCACGCGAAGCAAAGGAAGAGCACCAGAGCCGGGTGTAAAAAACGGAATGTGCAAGGTGTGCTTAAAAGCGACGATCTTGAATGTATGCATCCAGTTAAAACTTCAAATCAAGGCAATCTTTAAGAGGCACCCATATACAAAGTGCAACAAGGTTTGACGAGTCTACCACGCCGAGGATTCTGAACCTTGACGCATGAAGAGCGCAAGTTATGCGGATGATTTATCACGACAACAGTGCTTAAAGATAAACAAAGTTTTGTTTTGACAGTCGACAACATGCCCTCAAGGTTGCTGTCACAGACTAATATACGGATCACGCGGCAGCACTATTGAGCTCAACTACTATCGTCCGATGTTTTTGCAATCTTAATAGCCTCGTGACCAGTTCGCAAAGCCAGGAATCTGCATAACTCGCGCTTAGACGGAGGTTACTTCAGTCCTGTTATCAATGGATTGGGATTTTTTGTGGAGATCAGCAAATTCATCCAATTATCTGGCGTCGAACTGATGTAGATGGAATATTACCACGTCAGTGGGTTATATCTTCAACCGCTGGTCCGGAAAATTAAAACTTAGTCGTTTCGTACAATCCTGGCAAGTATTCCTTACAAATACCGAAAACAAGAAAATTCTCAACTGGATAACCGCAGTACGGAACTCCAGCTCTTTATCTCCGGAGTGTCCTCACAAGCGGTCAGTTGCCTGAGTAATTCGGCGGGATTGGGACGACTGAGATTAGCAAAGGAATGCTTGCACGATCGCGTGTTCTAACATCTCTGAAGAAGCGAAGGAAATCTAATTGCATCCCGTTTATTAACAATGTCCGCGCATCAACCCTACATGGTGCAAAGAAATAGTTCGATCCTGCCAATGCACTCCGCAAAACAAATCCAACCTTGTATCTTTAACCGTTGTGCCAAGAGATGTTCACGGATCTCAGTGGCATGGTGATCAAGGCATCAGCCGTTAACCATCGGGCCCTTAGCTCCACTCCCAGCTCAAACTATCTCCCTTTGATGAGTTCAAAGGAGGACAAAACCATCGGTCGCGTGGAGTCAGTGTTGGGAGGAAGGACACCTAGTCTGTCACTTTGCAAAACATCTTCGTGACACAGAGTCATGATACACAACTTCCAGTGCAATTCACAAGTAAATTTCACTAACGAGTAGTAGTGAGGATTGTTGGTATAATGCAGCCAATTCATCATCGCCACTCCCAATCAACAGGCTTAGCCTAGGCTGGAAAAGCAACAGACGCCAGCGTTTCGACCTTGTGAGTCTCGTCAGTGGTGCGCCTCCCAGCGGACCCCTGCCAGGTTCCGCCCCCATGACTTCAGGACGCCAGCAGCTAGTGCTACTTCGCCATGGGTGACAGCCGCGGACCTATCTATCGATTTATCTATCTACCTATCTGTGTGGATACAAACATCGCAAAACATATTTTGTATTGCAACAGGTTTAGAAATAGTTATCTGCTTGTAATGGATACGACGATGAGCTCAATTTCCAAAACACTTGATCAAGCAACATTGACGCGTGTTCCGCTTAATCAGAACAAAACATCCCAGTCTAATTCCTTGTGTCACACGTGTTCTCTCAGATGACCATAAGTGAACGGCTTCCGATCTTTATAATCAGCTTTTGAACATAGTGCTGTACATGATTATATCACCCTGGTCATGCCTATGCAAGCGTGTCTCGTATTACAATGAAAAGCCGATCCGTAGCCTTAAGAATCATAAGCCGAATTTGAAATCCGAGGACGCGGATACGAGCCTGCGTAGGGGACCGGGTGACCCTCGCAGCATCATCAGCCCAAGAGCGACTGGTGGTCGTTGCGTGGCAGCCAAGCGTCTGTACTGTGTACCGGCGTAGTGCTGAACTCCGAAACCCAACATTCAACTTCTAACCACTGTGTCAAACGCTGCTGTGGAGTTTTGGCCTATTGACCAAAACGAAAGCCACAAAGCTCAAGCAATCCCTATCTAACGAATCCAAAGGAGGACGAAACCGGTCGGTCGTGGAGTGCAGCGTGGGGACAGAGCAGCTAGGAAACACTCCGCTTCGGATGCAGTTCCAGTTATCGAAATGACGCAGGTTTGTTTCAAAGTAAACTTTAGCCTCAATCGAGACTGCGTGTCCCAATCCAGACAGACAGCGGGCACTCCAAGACCAAATAACAATTTTGGGGCATATTTCAAGCAACCTCGTCGCGAATGGTTCGAACGTGCCCACTAGTTCCATCACCCGACACATAGTTTGATTGTTCCATGTGTGAAAACCCGCGTGAGTCATTTAGAATAAACAACCGACAGAGCACCTCCCGCCTGCTTCGGTTTGCTGTCTTCAGCGATTAAGCAGTTGTACTCTCTCTCTCTCTCTCTCTCTCTATTCTCTGTAAACAGACCGAGTTCGTAGACAGTCTCGCCTTGACTTGGTGAGTCTAGTGGCCACATTCCTCTAAGCGGAATGCCAACCAGCATCAGATGAACTTTGACCGACATTAATTCATCAATGATGTTGTGCATAGTCTCTGTAAGCAACCTAATCCTCCCACGAACTGTTTGTAAACGGCTGACGAGAACACATGAAATAGCTGAATTCAGATTATTTCGTCGAAATTTGCTTTCTTGTTATTTGGCATTTGTGAAGGAAGTTTTGCGTGGAAGGTCATGATCGTTTCTCCTTAGTCACGGATCATAAGAGCGTCTCTTAATGAAAGGAGCGGGGTAATCGTCATCTTGTAGTGTCCTGAAGATTCGGTTCTTTTCGTTTTCCAACGTTTCTGGGCCACAAACTTTATTGGCGCGTCTAATGGCTAATCCAAGTGGTTTTTCGAAAAATGTTTCGATGGTATGAGAAGTCTGCTTAGTAATATGTCCAAGAAAGCAAGGTTTCTTTCATCTTAAATCTCACTCGCAAAGTTCAAAGACGAAAGTGAGTCACTGAACGGATCTAGCAGCGTTTGAATCATAAATTATAGAGATAATAACCATGACGGTCAGGCAGAAGTCTGGGGATGCACTAACAAGTGCAATTGTGTCCGTGAATTCAGTTATGTCGTGCGGATAGCACCAACTTCGAATGCCACATTGCTCACACTTACCTCGCCGAAAGCCCCCTTGCCGATAATCTTAAGGGGGATGAAATCGTCCACAGTGAGGCGGGCGCGCTTCAGCCTCAAGAATTCACTTTCTTTCAATGCATGTAGCGTGCGTTTGGCTTGTTTCTAGATTTAAAAAAACAGCGGGATTTTCGAATGTTAAAAATATTAGCGAGTATCTAGTTTCAGAAAGAGGGTACACAGAGCATTGTTACACGAATGACCAGCTCGTTCGGTCGCAACAAATTGCAATGAGATCAAAGCGGCCTGGTCACTCGCAAATCGCGCCACCTGGTTAGACAGAAATTAGGAGCGAGGAGACATTATGGCTTCAAATGGCGTTTACTTTGGTGGATGGTGGAAACACACAGAGTATGCGCAAAATATAGAAAGCACGGTACTGTAGTGGATTCGGGAATAATCTGATGTATAGTGTTGCATAGTTTATTGGCTGATTCGCACCTTTCATGTGAAAGCTACTTTGGCGGAACGGGGCGGGCACGCCACCGTCCCGTGATTGCCAAAAACACATTAAAAGTGATAACTCGGTCTATTCATTTAGGCAGGAGCTGAGTTCATCGAAGGGCTGAGTACACACCCCATTAAGGTAAGATATCATTTCATCTATCAAAAGTAAGACAAACAACAGTGTAGTGTGGCGACTAAGTCACACTGATGGGTGAGAGGTTAGAGAATCCCTCTTAAAATAGGCGGATGTGGATTGCAAGACCCCGTCGCCATCCATCCCTTCTCTCGTTTCGCGTACCCCTAAAGTAACTTTTCTCATGTTGACCAATAAGCGATCAGCTTAGATATCATCAACCCCACCAACAACGAAACCAGACCATGTTTCAAACCATTCCACGTTGAATGCTACAGATTCCATATATATTGTCCCAAACTGGTCAACAGGCGACCCTTGCAATGAATTCACTTATGTGAAACAAGCAACTATGACCACCGAGCTGTGGTTCCGCAACCAGAGCTTACGCAGTGTCGCCGATGATACTAAATCCATGGCTAGTGCAGCTGCGGTGTCGGAGTGGCTCTCAGTAGACGCAAGGACGATATGCATGTGGAATGTGTTTCTGAGAATAGCGGGTTGGGTGCAGCTAGACTTCGCGGCAAGATAGAGGGTCAAAAGAGAGCAACGGTTATTGCATTGGTTAACATTCCAAACCTGCTGTGACACTGTCTTCAATCATCGACTGTACGGATGGCCAGCTTCAGTGATTCAAATGAGGGAAATTGTGATTAGTGTGACTAGTGGCAGTGACAATAATAGTTAAACAGTTAGGTCATCGGATTTAGAACGCCTGCATCGGTTCACTACAGGGTGATCTGAAACTGGTGACCGCTACCTTCAGCTGCGCGTCGAAATCAACCTCAGTAGCACAGCTCTTCAACACAATCGTACATATTGATCAACCCAGTGCTTCAAACAGACGAAACTGCTATAAGCTGTAGACGATGAGATTTCGACCAAAACTGTAGGTCGAAGTGTGATAGGTATTACAATTCCGAGTATGCCGCTGTGTGTATGCATTGGCGCACGATTCATGGATGGTCAGCTGCAAATAGCGTTACAATGAACATTCCGTGGAAACTGACTCGCCTAGGCTCGCTGCGCCACGTTCATCGCATGTACTCCAGCCCATGTCCTCTACCCAGTTTAATCATGAAGACCGCAGCTGTATAGGTGACACCGCATGATGGGCAATGGAGCGAAATCGACAGAGGCTTGGTGCCGTACGCATACAATGTTCTATCGGAAGCCTGGTGTTAGGGAGATCATACGCGACTAGTGGACAGCCGATCCACAGCTTGACAAAACGCTTGGAGCGTTGGGCCGAACACTTTGCAAAGCAATTTAATCACACACACACACACACACTACACGTTAGCTAAAGGTGGAAAACACCTCAGCTACTGGGCCGCAATACCTAAAAAAGGGAATAAGAAGCAACAGGTGCAAGCCAGCTGAGCTACCGGTAACGGATGGGCATCGTTCCGGTAAGCTACCTGCCAGCTACTATGCCGCAGAAAAAATATTTACTATGCAAAATTATAAAATGTTAAATAATGAATTGGAATATTGGTAGCTCGGGAGGCTTGCTCGGTTATTGTGGAGTTCTCCGAGCTGGACAACTTGGTTGCAGACGTTTCGCCACCATTCGAGGTGGCAACTTCAGTGCGGGATTGATAGCAGTTAAGTAGCAGTAGCTGGTAGAAAGCAAACCCCATAATGGATACTGTCGGTAACTACTCCGTTCCTTATATAGGTATATGAGGCTATTAATTTTGCCTCGATCTCATTGGTGAATCCTTGTGTTCAGCGGTTGTGCTCGAGTCAATGTCATTGGCTGCGGAAATGTTGTTGCGATGTGGTTGGGCTTATCGCACTCGGATTGGTGCAGGAGATGTGGGTGAGTAGTCTGGGCTCATATTGCCCATGCTGTTCATTGTGCGTGTGTTGCATTAGGTTCATTCGGACAACGGTTGTTGATCCTCTTGAAATCTCGCTGTCTCAGCGGTTGATATATTGGATCGAGGTCGATATGCATGTTGATTGAGTTCGTGGTTGAGAACCAGGCTTCGAGAAACTCCCTCCCTTTTTGTGTTTCTCCTCCGGTCAAGATCTCTACCTTGTTCCAGTCGAACCTGTGTCCCTCTTCATCCACATGTGCTGAAACCAATGAGGTTGCGTAATGCTTCTTGCACGCTCTTTGGTGTTCATGTATCCTGGTGGACAGCTTTCTTCCTGTTTGTCCCACATAGTGCTTTTCACAGTTTGCGCAGTTTATTCTATATACGACATCCCGTCGTTCTAGTGTCTCTCGTTTTCCTTTTGGTTTTGACAATGTCTTCCTCAGAGTGGCGGTTGGCTTGTGGGCTACCATGATATGATGTTGTTTGAACAATCTGGCAGTCATTTCTGACACGTTCTTTATGTATGGCAGAACTATACGTTTTGTCATCGCTGACGTAGGTTCGGTTTTGGAGGGCTCGCGGTTTAAGCATCTGCGGAGGAAACTGCGTGGGTATCCGTTGCGTTCAAATGACTTGAATAAGTGTTTTTCTTCTGCTCGTTTCGCTTCTGCCGTACTGCAGTGAGTTGCTATTCTCTGGAACAGTGTCTGCACACAGCTTATTTTGTGATATCTTGGGTGGTTGCTGTGGAAATTCAAAATCTGATCGGTGTGCGTGCTTTTTCTGTAAACTGAGGTTTGCAATTCGCCGTCCACTGTTCTGGCTACTAACACATCCAAGAAAGGAAGTTTGTTTTCCTTCTCTGATTCCATGGTAAACTGTTTACAGTTTGCAACAGTCTGCAACCAAGTTGCCCAGCTCGGAGAACTCCACAACAACTGAGTTAAATAATGAGATCGTGATTGGAGGAGGAGGCTAGTAGAAATGGGGTTGGACAAAGAAACTCACAGCACGAACGCCAATGAGGACGGCTCCTAGCCATATCAACAAGTGTATCCAGCCAAACGTGTTCATTGTCTTTCGGACCCCAACCATTTTAACCAACCTGAGTTATCTCTTCCTTTCTCGGGCATTGACAGCTCTTCTCCCTGGGTCATCTCCTTGGATTCGCCTTCACGCGCAGAAGTCGAACGTGCGATCAGACTTGAAATTTACTAATGCCGAAGAGGTAGGTAAACTTCCCCCAGCCATCTTCAAATTCGAGGGACCTGCTTTTGTAGATGATTTGCACCGTTTAAGAGTGAAGCTGTGGGAGCAAGAGACTGACCCAACAGAGTGGAATCGCTCTGTCATAGTCCCAATTCTAAAAGGAGGCTTACGTTCGAAATGTAACAATCATAGAGGAATCAGTCAGATCACAATTGCCACTAAATTGTTTGCATCTATCGTTCTTCACAGACTGACTGGCACTCGTGAAAGTCAAATTCTGGAGGAGCAATCCCGGTTTCGTCGAAATCTAGGCTGCATCAATCACATATTTATTTTGCGTCAGTTGATGGAGTACCGACACGTTTATTGGCGACCCACTGTGGCTGTTTCTCGACAGCAAAGGTGCCTTCGATTCCGGGGATTGATGTGCTCTTTGGGACTCTCTGTTGAGGAAAGATGTGCCCGAGAAATAAGTAAATATTATCCGGGAGCTGTACGCACATAGTTCGGGTAGAGTAAGGGTTTACGGTAAGCTGTCGCCGACCTACAATATTTTCAGCAGTGTGAGAAAAGGTCACCGCTGACACCTTACTATGTGGACTTCGCCATGGAAGAAAAGAAAACAGCGTTCGCTGGACATGACATACAAGGGACGGAGCTGTTTTCTGGTGAGCGACCTCTTGACTTGGAGTACGTCGACGAGATTGGCCTCATCGGTGACAGTTCCCCAACGTGCCAGACAGCACTGAACAGCTTAGTACTCGCTGTCAAACGCTTTGGGCTTTGTTGCACTCCCTCAAATTTTTTGCAAGATTGGCAGAGACGTCTCCTGCGTTCAACACTGGTGATGATCAGCTAGATACTGTGCCAGAATTCAAATACCCTGGCAGCTATATTAGCGTCCGAGGGTTCGAAGATGAGGTCACGAACCACATAACAAAAATTCGAGGTGCCACAGGTGGCGGAGTTTGGCAAAAGCACCTCGTGAAGGGCAGTTTTAATGCAGTCGTTCGTTCCAACCTCTTATACGGTTGTGAAACCTTCGACAGACATTAAAGCGGCTAGTAACGCTCAATCATCGCTGCCTTCGCAGCTTAGCTCATGTCTGGTGGGAGCACCGTGTGAGCAATGGGCGCCTTCGGCGTTGCCTATTCAGTACAGGAGGAGCGAGTTAACCGATCAGCACCATTATATCACACACCAGACTCCGACGGCTGGGCCACAAGTTGCGCATGTTAGCATACGGACTCCCGCGGCGTGCGTTGTTTGCGCGCCGTGGGTGTGGACGGAAGATAAGAAGGGGTGACCAAGCGATGACTCGATCGAGAGGAATTAAAACCCTCACTTCGAAGTTGGCGTCAGTTGGTGTATCTCGACTGCCAGGCTGGGATCCCAAGGACGATGAACATGTTTGGTCAGACACTTGCTGATATGGAGAAAAACCGGCCCCAATGGTGTTTGTGTTGTGAATTTCTTTGTCCATACCCTTCCCTTTAGTTTCCCACAATTTCAATCTCATTCCAAATGCCTAAAGATAGTTGACATCATAGTACTTGCATACTGAAATTTTTTTAGTCTGTAGCTCTTAGTACCTTATCTTCTTGTATTGTGGCACATTAGCTGAGATGTGTTTAGCACCCTCAGCTAACCTGTATTTATGATGATGATGATGTCCTACCAGGTGGGGTTCAGTAGAGCAGTCAATTCAGAGTTGGGGGCATATTCAATTTTACATAGTTGCCAAATCATTGATGTGGTTTTATTCGGCCTTCTGCCTCTAGCCACCAATTGTTCCACAGAAAAAGCCTAATTCCGTTACAGTTCCTTCCTCATTTCCTTCACTGTAATTAATTACTACCGTCCTTGCGATATGAAGCTTGGCAACTGGGAACACAGAGCCTCTGTGCTCCGATCCCAGCTACTTTTGACTTGGCTCATATTGCAAGGTGCTAACGCATCGCTGTCGTCAACTACTGATGACGAAGCTACCAGTCATAATGAGAACGGCGAAATACTGAGAAAAAGTGTAGTGGACATGTCAGGATGTTATTAATTCCTAGCAGGGGTTGACAGCACGGGTTATGCAGATGGTGGGGGGTCGAAAGAAAAATCAACAAAGCATACTTGCTCTTCCGTAAGTCCTTCACTTTCCATCATTGATTCGAGAATTTTGTACCTGGGAAGTAAAAGATGAGGAAGAGTACGATGTATCACACGGTAAATACAGTACGCGGGACGATTGGATTCGGTGCAGTCGTAGAGAAGATAATCAATGTGTAAGCAATGAAACATGTAGACATTTCGGGTACAGAGAGGTGAATCACGAGCCAGCACAAGGTGATGCCAAGGAGGATTAATAAAGGAGTTATGAGACATTACAGATAGAAGAAAACGAAAACTGGAACAACTATCAGATGCGGAGTTCAGATTCCGTCGCAACGAGAACTGACCTTAATGTGGTGCGATGAGATGCGTGCTGAGTTATACTAGGTGATGTCCCCGGGCCCAGATTGTTCGATGGCCAGAGGTCAACAAACGCAATCTCCTGCTCCTCCAGTTTGAAGGCTACAGTTAGAGTGACGTCCATTTCCGTAAAACTGGATCGCAGTCCTGTGGATAGACTTTTGAGCCAAAGGCTTTAGTTGAGGACTTTAATCGTTCTCCTGTCTGGGTTTAAGTGCTCTGGCAGTATCCCAGCACACACAACCATGAGAAGCCCCAAAAAATCTTCAACTACGCCCTGCATCGGCCGTGGTGCAGCAATCAAACGGTCATCTTATATGCTGCATACAACAGGGCGAATAAGCAAAAACATACTGTGGCTGGTGTCTACCTCATTTCTTTTCCACTTGCTCCTCTCACTCCTCTCCCGACCACTATTACTCCAGGCTTCAAAAGAGAGGCGATTACCAACTCCAAACGAACTACCCCAGCAGCCGAATACAAGAGCAGTGGACCATCTTCCGAGATAACGGTATACCACGGAGCAAACCACAGTAAAGCAGAATTCACGACGAAACGCAGCTGGTAACTCTGAATGTGTAACTGAATGAGTTGTGGGTACAGTTACAATAAGGTAAAAAGCAACGTTTTATCAAAATCACGGATGCAACTTTACCGTTTTTGACGATCCTTGTACTGAATGATCAAGTTGTCGTAGTAATTTTCCAGGGTAACTTTGGCCACTTTGACTTTGTCCAAAGTGTGGGTGCTCACGTTGAGCGATCCCACAGGAGATGGAGTCGATCCGCGAGTGATTTTGGAGCTAGCAAAATTATGACTGAATCCGTTGTTGGTTTTGTGGTTAGTCATATTGAATTTGCTCCCTAGTGGCTTGAAATCTGTGACGGTACGGTCGATGGAATCATTGTCATCCGAACTCGAATAACTACGAGTAGTGTTAATTGACATAATGGTATGAAGAGACCCGTTTCAAAGTCTTTCATCGAGAAAGTACAATGGCGGCTAAAATAGGAATATAGAGATAAATGAAAACATCGCTGAAGTTACACACTGTTTTAAGACAGGGGTCAGAAGAATCTCAAGCAGAACCAGAATGTGCAGTCATCTTGGACGTAATGTTTCTACCAACAGAAAATGTAAGCTTTGCGGCATGGAAAACATCTTTCGCCATTAGCAAAGCGACGAAAAATCTCGAGTAGTGTGACCATGAAAGGGAATCGGACACCGAAATCAATATACAGGGCGACTACGAAGTCCCTGGTCATTGTACATAACTGATGTTTTTTGCAGTACCATTTATTAGTTAATATTTTCATCCTTATCATAGGATTTGTAGCATATATGTACGATACTTTTGCCTTTCTATTTGCAGGCATACATTCGAAAAATGACCGACACAAGTCCCTATACCATTGAAGAAAGACTCATAGCTGCTGTTGGGGTACATGATCGAGTGCTAGAAAAAAGAACCATGACGTTTTGATTAAATTCCAGAAGGGTTGCAAGAAGCCCGCACCAAAAAGGATACATTATTGGCATGGAAGAAGAAAACATTTGCAGCTAGATCTGTGCTGGATGCTCCTAGCTTTGGACGCCCTGCCTCCCGAATGGAGCACTTGGAAATCATTCAGCAGTCAGTTTTCAATTCTCCAAAGAAATCGACTCGTAAGAGGTCTGCTGGATTGCATATTCCCCGCTCCACACTCCAAAAGGTACTCAAAACTAACCTAGCCATGTCAGCATTCAGGCCAATGCAGGTCAGTGAACTGTCTGATATTGATCGACAGAATCGAATGGAAGCGTGCCAACACCTTCTCCAGGAATTCCCCACAAAAATCAGTCGTCACAATGTCTTCTTTAGTGATGAATGTGCTGTCTATCTCAGCTCACGATCACGAAATGTTTACATTTAGAGCAAGATTAACCCATATTATGCTGAAGAAATCGCCCACAACCCACCGCATGTCATGATGTGGGCGGCAATGTCAGCCACCAAAATCATTCGGCCATTCTTTTCGAAAACTCAGTGAATCAGTTCACCTATCGAGAAATGTTGGAGACCTGGTTCATTCCACAATTGGTTTCAACTGAAATCATGCATGTAGCCATTCTGCAGCAAGATGGTGCTCCTGCACACTTTGCTATCTCGGTGCGCCGGTTCCTGGATGAGAATTTCTCTGGCCGGTGGATTGGACGTGGATCACAGCATCAATGGTCAGCTCGCAGTCCTGACCTCTCATCATGCGACAATGCCTTGTGAGGCATGATGAAAGAAGATATCAGAAAAACACGTTACAACAACACAGAAAAACTTAAAGCTGTAATCCGTGCTTCATTGAACTCGATTTCCCCTGATGTTCTGCAACGCATCTCAGCACGCACTTGGAGACGCATTCGTCTGTGTTGAGAATGACGGTAAACACACAGACATATTGGATCCATGAAACTGTGAGCATAGGCTAGCACATACTTGCTTCAACAAATTTCATTGATCAGCGAAAAGCCCTTCCTTTCCTACACAAGTATCATGTACAATTCTTGTGCACTTATACACTGATTTACGTAGGTATATGCATAAAGGTGGAGTGTCCGGGGACGATGTGGCCACCCTGTTCATGATAGAACATTGCTTATGATTCATTTTTATCGGACTGCCTTAAGCAAAAAAGAAAAGAGTAGAAAACTGAGCAACAAAAAAGTAAGCAGAGGGGGCGAAACGAAAGGTCAGTGAAGTATTCTCGAAATGCCATTTATACAACCGTATTATAAAGTTGTAGGAGCAAGAGAAGCACACAATACACAGTTCAATAAAAGAATGATATAAACAGAAATTAGCTGGCACCACCAGCGACTAAATTCAATGGGAATAAGACCACGAGTATTTGAAGACGCGTCTACAGCCGGAATAGGCACCATCACCAAAAGCCGTATATCATTTGAACTATGCTTCGCTGTCGTACAATCTGATTATAATACGGAAAAAAGAACGCCCGAACCAGACAACAATGGTCAAGACGCCTACATCTTGTCAACAACATGCGGTCACAAACAGTTCAATATCGTGCGAACATAACATGAGATCAGCGAGATAGCTCCCATGCGAATTTCACTGCTCCGCGTCATAATCAGTCAGTACTCCTTAGATAACACAATAATAAACACGCTACGGTCGATAATTGTGCATTTGAAGGACTCCCTTCCCTTAAATAGAAAAACCAAATGCATGTATAAAATTCCATGTAAAGATTGTACGCAAGTGCACATAGATGATAGGGCGAAGGAACTACGTACAAGAATTTCAGAATACAGGCAGCACATGTCACGACCTTCGAGAAACGAGCTGGAGTATAGAGATCTGCTCAGTGATTCGGCGATAGCAATGCATGCGCTAAATACGGAGCCCGAAAATAACTTTCAAAATGTCAACTGAAATGATGACTTCCCGATGAGTTCCAAAGATATTCCAAGATATCAGCACAAATCAATCAAGCAATCAATACAGGTTAGCTGAGGATGAGGAATACCCCTCAGCTAATGTGTCGTCATAAAAAAGAAGATACCAAAAACACTATAAATAATTCAAAAAGCAAGTAATATAACGGTAAATATTGTTTAATGTATTTCGTATGAGATCGCAAATGGAGAGAGGAAAAGAGGGAGAGTGTGGACAAAGAAATTCCCAACACAAACACCATTGGGGTCGACTCTTCGCCATACCATAGTCATTTACTCATAGTCATAGTCATATACTCATAGGCAGTTGTTCGATTGTTTGGCTGCAAACGTTTCAATACCATGCGAGGTGGCATCGTCAAGGCAGTGAGATGCAGCGCGTAATCGTCTCCTAACCAGGCAGTCGGGATGCACCAACCGATGCCAACTTCGAAGTGAGGGTTTTAATTCCTCTCGATCGAGTCATCGCTTGGCCATCCCTCCTTAGCTTCCATCCACACCTACGGCGCGCAAACAACGCACGCCGCGGGAGTCCGTATGCTGACATGCGCAACATGTAGCCTAGCCATCGGAGTCTGGTGTGTGATATAATGGTGCTGATCGGTTAACTCGCTCCTCCTGCACTAAATATGCAACGCCGAAGGCGCCTATTGCTCACACGGTGCTCTCACCAGACATGAGCTAAGCTGCGAAGGCGGCGATGATTGAGCGTTACTAGCTGCTTTAATGTCTGTCGAAGGTTTCACAACCGTATAAGAGGTTGGAACGAACGACTGCATTAAAACTGCATTTCACGGCTAGAGTGATGTCGCGTCAGCGCCACAGGTGGCGGAGTACGGCAAAAGCACCTCGAGCACTTTCTATTCGGTTCGTAACCTAATCATTGATCCCACGGACGCTAATATAGCTGTAGTGGTACTAGAATACCTGAACGACTTCTAGTTGATCACCATCGCGATGAGACTGAACCATTACGGGGTGCGATGGTTTGTCTGTCTCAGTGATACATTGAGTTATGCTGAGTGGTGCTTTTTGCACCTTCAGAGTCACTTATACCAGAGTGCTCAATGGTTAGGGGACAGACAAACTCAGCCTCCTGACCCTCCAGGTTGGGGGTTAGAATGTGGGTGGCTAGTTATTTCTTAAAACGGACTCCTTGCAGTCCATTACCAAACCCGAAACCACGCGGCCAAGTTTGTGAACGAAAGGCTTTGGTTGAGAACCCTAATCGTTCTCCTGTCTAAACCTAAGCAACCTGACAATATCCTGCCCAAGGAATACTATGAATCTTTCTGCAAACAACGGTTGACCAGCCACCGTGTAGGTTCGACAGCGCTCACACTTACCCAGCCTTATAAATTGAGACTTGACCGGGTTGATCGGAAGGTTGACCTCTGCAGACCACGTGGAGAGGCGGTCGAGGTCCTGCTGAGGCAAAGCACAATCATTGGGTGTGCGGATTACTCTCCACACCTTCGAGTCATCTGCGGACAAAGTACAAGGTGATTGGAGTAGCTGAGGCACATCGTTCACATAGATGAGAAACAAAATCGGTCCCAGTACAGTACCTTGGGGCACGCCGCTGCTCGACGGATACCAGTCGGTTAGATGGTTGTCCACCTGCACCTTCCACTTTCGATCAACAAGGAAATTCCTGATCAATTGGTGCAGCGAACCACCAACACCGCACATTCTCTGCCTGTCGAGGAGCACTGGATGATCTACCTTGTCAAAAGCCATACTGAAGTCAATGTAAATGACGTCGACTGATTTGCCTTGGTTCAGCGCTTGTAACGATTCATGCCTCGTCAGCAGTAGGTTGGTGATGCACGTGCGACCTTTCACGAAACCATGCTGTGCGGGCGTCCAGAGGCTTTTCGACTCAAGAAGCTGCAGAAGACTCTTCTTCACAAGCTTCTCGAACGTCATTGCCAAACAGCGGTCAGGCAGATCGGCCGGTAGTTATCCACTTTGCTTGGGTTACCACCTTTCGGTATTGGCTTTACGACTGAGCATTTCCAGTCGCCCGGTAATAGTCCAGTGGATAGTGATCTGTTGAACAGCTCAATTACAGAAGGCGCGATGATGGCCGATAGGGACTTGAGAATCAGCGGGTGGATTCCATTTGGCCCAGCAGGCTTTGTCCCGTCAACAATTGCCAGGAGCTTGCGTACATCTTCAATACTGCAGTCTAGGCTGTCAAGTTCAGCGGGAGCGGTACTCGTCGAACTCGTTACAGACACCTGGTCACTTGCAAATACGGAGGCGAAGTGCGCCGGCAATGCAGACGCACGATCTGTACTCGAGGTTAGGGGCTGTCCATCTGAGCCTTCTAACACTGGGACATTGGCTGCAGGCCTCAGGCGCTGCTTCACGTATGCGAAGATTCTCTTGGG